ACTGGCTTAATATGGGACTCTCCCATTTTAGACATCTAGGCATAAAAAAATGGCAGGACAATACCTCCATTTCTCCATCTCTTTGATCCAATTTACCCACGAATTAAGAAGCCAATGCTAAAGCCCCCAACTTCATAGCCCTTTCTCACTCAATTCTCATCTCACACTGCAGTCTCCCTCAAGGATATCTTCCACCTTGGATAGAGGCTAGGTCTCTCGTTACCCATATTAGCAGCCAGGGTGCCCATACAGCAGCTTGCTGACACCTCCGTCCATAACGCCTCCCTTACAGGACTTAAAATGTCTGCTGCAGACCCTCAGCAGTTCTCAAAACATCATCATAGCCACCTGTCAAGCAGTATGCCATTCCATAACACCTAGAAGATACCATCCTTGGCTTTCCACCCCACTCCCCTCACCCTGACAGCTCCTGCCCCAGTGCGTATCACCTTACTTATGCGCCTCAGTGCTCTCTGCACTTTCCATGCCCTGGGCACTGTGCCTACAGACCCATTAGGGATAAACCATTGCATCAAAATTCCCTCGGCAAACTTTCATCCCTCACACAGCTTCCATTTCCCTGCTTGGCTCATTCTCCACATGAGAGACTATGTAACTCACAATTTCCCTTCATGGTTCATTCTTATTTCTATCGTATCTTGTCAATAATGCCAAGTGTTGCTAAATTGCCTTTCTCTGAGATAGACATGAAGAGATGTCTACTCCTACTCCTGGGATCCCAAGAAACAAACTAAGCCACAATTCAGCCAAAGTTTATTCTACGGAACGAATGAGTTTATTAGGCTTCCTCACAGAGCCTGGATGAGGAGTTACTTACAGGGTTGTAGGCATGTCTCCTCCATCTGGTCATACCTGAAAGCCTTACCCAGCAGGGATAAGGGCTTCCCTGTAGCCCACTCTAGTACCCTTCAGCATGCACAACACACACACACACACACACACACACACACACACACACACCTACCTCTTAAGGCCATGAGTTGAGTTTCCTGTTGGAAGGGAGCAGTTATGGCAGAGGAAGGGTTGTAGACTGTCAACAAGCCCAGCTAGGATAATCCTTTCCAGCAGAGACACAGATGAATGCTCCAAGATGGCAGTAACTTGGTTTCAAGGTCAGTCACTCACAATATATTCAGTTCTTTAATTTTATATAAATGTATAAAACCATATGTGTGACAGACATGTGGCATGAGAGTAGAATGAAGCTGTCTAGAGGAACAAAGGGGACTGACGGGGGTGGAGTAAGGAAGAGAAGCACAGAAGGGTCTGAAGGGAATACTTGCTTTTTTTTTCAAGACAGAGTTTCTCGATGTAATAGTCTTGGCTGACCTAGAACTTACTTTGTAGACTGGACTGGTCTCAAACTCACAGAGGTGCATCAGCCTCTGCCTCTCGAATGCTGGGATTAAAGGCGTGCACCGCCACATCCAGCTGAAAGGAATATTCTTAAGATATAATAAATCATTGTGTGTCCTTAAAGAGAGGACCATGTAAAATAACACATTCCATGGAAGGGCTCATCTTCGAGACCCAGCAGGGTACCTACGCATGCAATCTCCCGGTGGTTGTGACAATATGCACAAACCCTGCTCAAGCCCAGGCCAGACCAATTTCCAGCACAGAGAGGGGCATCGAGCAAACAATTCTCCCACTAGCCATGGAGTGTTTAGAAATTGCTAGCTGCTGGGGAAGGAAGAGACAGTTTGCTTTTAGAATATATGTAGACCCTGGTAAGTCGATGAGTGGAGGACCACACAGCCAAGAATGTTTAGGCAGCAATATTTGAAGTGAGTCTTGACGGGTTAAAAGAATGAAAGGGCACCAAGGTGGATGGGCAAGATGAGGGAGTGGATTTGAATGAGTTCGGGAAGGATGAATATGATCAAAAAAAACGTTGTACAACACTTGAAATTCTCAAAGAGCTAATAAAAAATTGAAATAAAATTAAGAATGCCTCAAACAAGACATAGGGAGTACTATTATTTAATGCTTAGTTAAAATTTCATATAATATAAGCTGAATGTGGCAGTGCACGCCTTTAATCTCAGCATACAGAGGCAGAGGCTGGTGGACCTCTGAGTTTGAGACCAGCCTGATCTACTAAGTAAGTTGTAGGTCATCAAGGACTGTTTATACTACATATATGCATATATTATATATCATATAGATGTAGTTTATACTACATATATGCATATATTACATATTGTATATAATAAGATATATAGTGTGTATACATACATTGTATATATCATATATGTGTAGTTTAATTGAAGTTACATCACTTGGGGTGACAATGCTCTCCTCGAAATTTCCTTAATTATCCAATAAAAATCCCAGTGCCTTGTGTGGTAAACCTCATTTAGAGTTGTTCGTCAGTGCAGTCCAAGAGACACCTAAAGTAATATAGACCCTTGCCCTTAATGCCTTCCAGAAAAAAGAAGACAAGGCCCTGTTGCTGAAAACACGATGCACGTCAAATACAGGATTTGAAAGAATGCATCTGGATCTCAGCTCAAAGCTGCTTCCCTGAAGGCTAGATCTCATAGTATCAGAAAGAGCCATGCAAGCTGCCAAGGGCAAAAGGCCATCAGTAGTCCTGTTCATCCCTATTGTCTTTGAGCTACAACACAAAAGGCAGCATGGCATGATATTCCGAAAGGTGCAGTAGTGGCACTTATAGCCCGAGGGGAGCCAACAGCTAGCTAATTAGACTTCAGACCCACTCAGTAGAAAGGAATTCATGCTTGGCACTACTAACCAACCGCCTGGTGAGGCCACGAAGCCTAGAGGAGAACCTGCTACTCCTGTCATTTTCTTAAGCCAGTGTAATCTGTAACCAAATGTATCTTGTATCCACAGATAAAGGTAGCTTTCATTCCTCATCAAACAATCTTCCTCGTTTTTCAACAGATGGAAATCATCTTAGAAAATCACAACCAGTAAAAATGCAGCGATGAACTGACCGTGGAGTGTCTGCTTCCAAGTAACACATTGATAACACAGCCCCTACATGTAAGACTCAGGGAATATCTCAGAAAGGGAGAGAAACACAGCGATTATAAGAGTCATAGGATCAAGACAGTCTCAAAAAAAGGATAAAAGTGGGGTGGGTTAGGCAATAGGGGTGAATCTGGGAAGAGTATGGAGGGGACTGTGAGATAAATATGATTAAAATATGTTGTATGAACTTCCCAAATAATTAATAGAAATAGTATGTAATTTTTTGAAAAGTATAGAAAAACTAATCACCAATTTAATTATTGAGTGACAAATAATTTGTATAGGAATTCAAATACGCCTTAATTTACGTTCTAACACATACTCTGAGATAAAGTTAGTTATGCAAAACTGTTTTTCAACTGCAATTTTAAAACATATAAAATGAAGATTTTTGTCATAACAGAAATAAATGTATGAAAATATCAAAACCACAGAGGGTGTCAGAAATATATTTGAAATCATGGAGAAGATAGAAGAAGTGGAAGATACTATATTCTTGGCACATAAAGTCAATAGATCAGAGATGTTTATAAAGTTAATTTATTATATTTTTTAAAAAACAATATTTTGTATATGGGTGGTGGTGGTACATGCATTTAATCCCAGGACTCAGAGGCAGAAGCAAGCTAGTCTCTCCGTGAGCTCAAGATCAACCTGGTCTACAGAGTGAATTCCAAGATTCCAGGACTATTTTGAGAAACCCTGTCTTGAAAATTCAAATAATAGTAATAATAATATTTCTTATAATTGTTATGTGTGGGTGTTTGGTCTCTAACTATGACTGTGCACCATGTCCATGCAGTGCCCATGAAGGCCAGAAGAGGGCTCGGATTCTCTGGGGTTAGAGTTCCTGACAGTTGGGACTACCTTATGGGTGCTGGGAATTGATCAGAGTCCTCAGAAGAGCAGCCAGGTTCTCTCAAGCTGGAGCTACATCTCCAGCCCATTAATTTGTAGTCTTAATAAAATATTCTAATTTTTAAAAAATATATAAAGCTTGCCAGGCAATGGTGACACATGCCTTCAATCCTAGCACTCGGGAGGCAGAGGCAGGCAGATCTCTGTGAGTTTGAGGATAGGCTGATCTTCAAGAGCTAGTACCAGAACAGGCTCCAAAACTACAGAGAAACAGTGTCTCAAAAAACATTACACACACACACACACACACACACACACACACACACAAATCAACAGATGAACATTTACAATCAATTTTGATGAAAGAGAATACTAAAAATTGAACTCCATTTAGGCAATATTGGCCTCCCAAGAGTTCAGTGCTTGCCCTCCATAGGCCTTAATTCCTTTTGAAGTTAATGCATTTATTGTGTTTTAATTTAAAGTGTTTGTGGAAATTTGTTTTCTTTCCTTTTGTAGAAATGCACACTACAAATTTTAGCTTTCTCTGGGAACTTCAGAGCCTAAAATACTGTCTAGACTACAGAAGAAGCTTCCCTGACTTAAGATGCTTCATATTGGACAACTATATTTTAGTTGATAACCATAGAATCAAGAGGATAGGGTATGGTCAGGAGAGAAATAGCTCAGTGGTTAAGAACACTTGCTTCTCTTCGAGAGGACCCGGGTTCTGTCCCCAGAACTGACTTCCCTGCTCCTAAATGAGGTTAACACGAGTTCTAGCAGGAATACTATGCCATCTTTTGATACCATTAGGTTCCAGCACTCATTGGCATACACTGGCACAGATAGCTTTGAAATAGGAGGGGAGAGGAGGGATAGGACTAACTTTGACATAAAGAGAGCCCTGCTTTTCTAAGGACCCAAAGAAACAAAGGATGGTGTTTTCTAGAAATGGTGGATTTTCCATCAATCACTGGATGGTGGCCACGGCAATCTTCTCTTTTCAACAAATCATCTTAAAGATATGTGGTAACAAAATCATCTATTAGCCTTCATAAGCCCCGCCCCTCCCACTTGTGACATGATACTTCCTATCTAGTACCCGGATGTTAGAAGAGCCTCGCGGGTTGGCCTCCACCTTGTTCAGCCTCCTCTCGTCTTATGTCCCAGCTACTTCCATGGGACCACCACAGGTACCATCATAGATTTTGTCCTTTCACCAACTGTCTCTTCCAAAGCCCCCTCTGCTTTAAGGCCCTGGTTAACTGTCTTTTGGGGCCAGCAACTTCCTGTTTGTCCTGTCATCGTCGTCCGTAGTCATCTAGCATCGTCCTGGCCTTTACGGTTCGAGTAGCCATTATCATCGTTAACCCAACTCATTCAAGGCCTTGGTGAGGGATCTGATAGTGTCATGTCTGCCACAGGGTATCAAGATCCAACCAGAGAGACCCGAGATAACCCAGTAGCCCTTGAGGGAGAGTGGGTACAAGAAGCTGCAGGGGGCAGCGAGATAGATCACGAGTCCGGCCACGATGGGGCCTCTGCTACACCTGCCCTTGAAGAAATGGTGGCCGTTCATCCTAGGGGGGTGGACAATGTTGGGCCTGAAAGAAACCAGGAAGAAGCGGGTGATAGGAGAGAGGGCATGGATGTTGAGGAAGACTCAGATATTGAACCTGTTGAGGAGGAGGGAGGAGAGGAGGAGATGGAAAATTTAAGAGATCGAGAAGTGGTGGATGCTCATCGATTCCCAATGGCTGGCTTCCGATTTATGTTCCTGGATGTGATCCATGCCATTCTCAACCGTGTCTATTACAACAACCATGCCACGATTAGGCGCCCCCGTGAAGACGACAGAGTGATGGAAACACCTGGCCCTTCTGCATCTGGCCACTCAAGTGAGGTCCAAGTACCATCCGGGCCCATTCCATCAACAGTGAGGGCCGCGGAGTATGAGGGCCAGGCCTCATACTCTTCAGGCCTGGCCCGAGACCTGCCGGAGATTATCTCTACATTTCCGGAGCTGGAGGAGCTTCTAGACATCGAGGAAGAAGATTATTACCTGCCAGAGCCACGTCATTGCATGCAGGCACCATCTGTTAGGGCAGCAGCCGAGGAGCAAGCAGGAGAAGAGATGGCAGCAAAGGCGACAGAAGAAGAGCCAAAAAAGGAAGTGCTAGAGCAAGTCATGACTTCAGAGGGTAAGGAAACAAGCTCTAGGGGTCTAGATGAGGACATTGGTGCCAGGCAGCGGTTGGGAGGCAGGAAATATGGACAAAGATTGTCACTGACAGGGAGACTGAGGCCAGGGCTTCTCTGGGTGCAACAATTGACTCTGCTCAGTGCTGGCCGCTAGTGGGAAAAGTAATGGCTGGGCGGGTAATGCCTCTAAGGTCAAATGGCTCTGGTTAAAAAATTAGTTCATGCCAGGCAGTAGTGGGGAAAGCTTTGACACCCAGCACTCAGGAGACAGAGGCAGAGGGATCTCTGTGATCGAGGCCAGGTCTCTAACAACCTTTACAAGTTTTTGATTTGAGACAGTCTCATGTAGCCTAGATTGGCCTTGAGCTCACTATATGGCCAAGATGTCCAAAAGAGAGCTTGGGAGCTAATAGAAGGGAAATCTGACAGTAAACGAACAAGCAAATGGTGTTCCTCATTTTGTTTATGGCTTTAGAAAGTGTCAAGGCTCTTAGGAATTGGAAGCTCTACATTGATGAACTAGTTTGGAAGTACTTGCTGGGGTAGGGAGTGTTAGTATTCATGACTGGAGAAAAATTTACCCCAGATTTCGTACTTGAGGCAAACAAGGATCTTCCTGCCAAGGTCCTGCCCAACGTGTAATGAGTGCAAAGGTGACCGATGCTTCTGATGTGCTTTTCAAAGGAGGAGAAGGGAACATCATTGCTTGGAATATTTGCTGAGAAAGGGAAAGAAATGTCACTGTGGGAATGATCAGGTGGCAGAAGTGTGAAGATTAGGGAAGGGGTAGCGTGAACAGAAAGAAGGTACCTACTTACTGGTTTTGTAGTTACTCATGTCTCCCTCTTTATCCTGAGAGTAGATGTGGGTGGCACTATTGGTAGGGAATTAGGCTATATTTTTTTCTGTCTGGTTTTTAATGCTCTTTACTAAATAAACAGGTGCATGCCATTGTAGTGCCTGGAATGACGAGTGCAACATCTTTGAGGAGGAGGAAGGAAAAGGAGAAGAACAGAAGAACCAAGAAGCACATGATGAAGTTGGCCCAGATCCAGCAGACTGCAGCACCGGAAAATCCAGGTTCCTGTGCTGACTTTTGAGTATTAATCACCATCCCTGAAGTTACATTTCAGTTGTGCCATCTCGTTTTAAATTCTAATTAATTAATTGAGGAAACTTTACTTTGAATTCAAACAAAATTCAGTTTAACTTTTTTTTAGAATGAGACAAAATCGCCATATGTTTCCTAATCTGAAATGTAGTGTGTGCTTCATGGCGATTCCTTGGTTATTCTGAGGTCTTTTGTCCATCAGTGTAAGACTAATAACAAGGAGTAAAGCTATTAGACTTAACATCCGTATCAAATACAGACCAATATCTGTATGGAGAACAATTGTCAGAATAACGGTGGTGGTAGCTCGGTTGGGCACTCGCTGAGTCCTCAGTGCTCAGCCACAGTTATGTGGTCACCTCCTACAGACAAATAGTAAACAGCAGGTACTTAAATTAATCATTTTTAATGGTCAACAACTAAATATTCATTTAGCTATAGATTTTTATATTTTATACCAGTCAAAAGAAATTTAGTCCTAATATGACCATTTAGCACCAAATGACAATTAAAATTGAAGACATCTTTTCTTTCAGTATCTTTAAGTGATTAGCATTTTTTTCTCTGTCTTTTTTATGTCCTTCTTTCTTTTCTTTTTTTCCTGTATTTTCACAGTTGAGTGCTCCATAAAGCATGCAGAAGCCAAGTGCCCAGGACGGTAAGGAAGCATCACCTGTGCAAATAGCACTGGCTTTTCTAGCTTGACAGTTTTCTTTCCATGACAGCACAACTTTCAAGTAGAATAAACAAACCACACACCAGACTGAGGTTGTGGCTCATGGGGTTGGCATGGGCAGGGCTCTAAGTTCAATTCAGAGATGAGCACACACACACACACACACACACACACACACACACCCCAATAACCAAAAAGTTCGTGTAATCACTTGATTTGTTGCATAAGCACCCCAATAGTTCTGGGTTTAATTTATAAGAGAAAAGCATGTTGATTTTCTGTAGCTGTTGAGATAAAACACAAATATGGCAGACATGCACCAGTGGCTGGTTATTTTCTTAAATACAGGAAGCAGATTAACTTTGTATAATTGGTCATTTTCTCTCATTTTTATCTGTAGTTAAGAAGAATAGGAAGAAAAGGATGAAGAAGAAAGGCTTCTTGAATGTAACCAGCAACGTTTCATCACCAATGTCTTTAAGTTCGTTATCTGATAGTGATAGTTCTCCTTATGAATTTAACATCGTTCTCTCAAGTTCCAAACGAAACAGTTTCGTGCGATAAAATAAAACCTAGGCATGATTTAGAAGCAGCACTGTAATTCTATTTGACTTCTTTCGTGTTCATTTGACAGGGATAACAAGCATTTAATACCTGCTTTCAATTACTTTATTTCAGCTAAGTAATTAATATAACAAGCCTAGGACAATTTTATAGACAGGAAGATGAAGTTTAAGGTTTTAGTTGAAGCTCCATGAATCTATCCAGTTACATGTGCATTTTCTTACCTGTTACAGATATGTTTGATAATATTTGATAAAGTGAAAAATGTGATTTTTAAAAAGAAATGAACAGAAATATTGGTAGCTTTTATTTAGATAAATACTTCTCATTCGTTTCTACTTTTCCCTTTTATTGCCTTACTTTCACTGAAAGGTGAACCTGTTTTATTTTATGGTGGACCAAATGAAATTCAAGGCCAATTCTAAAAGAATTTTTTTTTAGTCTTTTGTTTTTGAGGCATGGTTTCCTTTGGGACCTGTCCTGGAACTAGCTCTGTAGTCCAGGCTGGTCTCAAACTCACAGAGATCCACCTGCCTCTGCCTGTTGAGTGCTGGGATTCAAGGCATGTGCCCTTAAAACAATTTTTATATGTGAGGCAGCAAAACTTTAAGGCTGTGTTCCCTCCTCTGTGAGTCACTACTCTCAGGTACCCATTGAGTACTTAACATATGACTAATCTGATTTGACATATGCTATGTGGGAAACAATGGACAATATCTCATTTACTACATGCATAAATGACAACCTAATGGATTAACCAAAAAACTATGAAAATTATTCACGTGCTTATTTATAAAATATTTTATTTGCCTTTTTGATTGTGATAATTTTATTATTTGAGAATTTCAAGAGACTTTTCAAAAGATTTATTTTTACTGTTATTTATGTGTGTGTATCTTAGTGTGTGAGTGGGTACCCATACAGAATAGAAGAAGGCACCAGATCCCTTGGAACTGGAGATACAATAAGCTTGAGACACCCAACACAGATGCTGGGACCCAAACTCTGGTCCTCTGGAAGAAGAGCAAGTACTCTTCTAACCATCCAATCCCTGTAATGCTTTCCTGATTAATTGTTCCCTTATAAGAATGTGTTCTTTATCTCACCTTACTAGATTGAATTTATATACTATTTTGTCAGATATTGGGATAGCAGCACCTGCTTTTTTCCTGGTCCCATTTGCTTGGAACAGTTTTCTCTATTTTTTTTCTCTGTAAGGGGCTGCCTGTTCTAAGATGAACTGTTGGTAGCTAACAGAATAAAAGGGCTTTGTTTCTGAATTCATTGAAGTAAACTGTGGTTTTTGGTGAATAAAATAAAATAGTTATTGAAAGGTGTGTGTCCATTGCTCTTTTTTTTCTGTTTGTGTTCATAGGCATATTTTTTGTTTTAGTAATTATAGCTTGATTTGTTTTCAGCCAATGTCCTTCTGGCTACACTTAGTACTCTCTTCAGTTGGAAGTATTACTTCCAATATTTTCTGCAGGGCTTGTTTAGTGGACACAAATTCTTTTAGCTGGTTTGTATTGTGGAAAATTCTTTCTTCTTCAACTCTAGAAGGTAGTTTTGCTTGGTCAAGTTAGCTGGGTTGGCATCTGTGGTCTCACAATGTGGATAACATTGCTTTAGGCTTTTCTGACTTCTAACTTTTCCACGGAGAAGTCAGTGGATGTTATTTTTATATCAGTGATTGGACTCGGTTTTCCTTTATGAGACCATTGTGTTTTTTTTTTAAGATTTATTTATTTAAATATACAGTGGTCTGCCTGCATGCATGCCTACAGGCCAGAAGATGGCACAAGATCTCATTACAGGTGGTTGTGAACCACCATGCGATTGCTGGGAATTGAACTCAGGACCTTTGGAAGAGCAAGCAGTGCTCTTAACCACTGAGTCATCTCTCCAGACCCCTGATTTTTTAAAATTTATTTATTTATTAAAAATTTCCACGTCCTCCCGTCCTTCCATTTCCCTTGCACTCCACCCCTCACCCTTGCCCTCCCTCTCCATTCCTCAGAGAAGTCAGGGTACCCTGCCCTGTGGGAAGTCCAAGGCCCTCCCCCTTCCATCCAGGTCTAGGCAGGTGTGCATCCAAAGAGTCTACCCCAAAAAGTCAGTACATGCAGTAGAATCAAAACCATGTGTCATTATCACTGGCGTCTCAGTCAGCCTTCATTGCCAGCCACATTCAGAGGGTCCGGTTTGATCACATGCCCCATCACTTCCAGTCCTGCTGGCCTTGGTGAGCTCCCATTAGATCAGTCCCACTGTCTCTGTGGGTGGACACACACCTCATGGTCCCGACTTCCTTGCTCGTGTTCTCCCTCCTTCTGCTCTTCATCTGGACCTTGGGAGCTCAGTCCAGTGCTCCAATGTGGGTCTCTGTTTCTATCTTCATCCATCGCCCAATGAAAGTTCTATGGTAATATGCAAGATGTTTATCAGTGTGGCTATGGGATAAAGCCAGTTCAGGCACCCTCTCCTCTGCTGCCCAAGGACATAGCTGGGGACATCTCCTTGGACACCTGGGAACCCCTCTAGACCCAAGTCTCTTGCCAACCCTAAAATGGCTCCCTTAATTAAGATATCTTCTTCCCTGCTCCCATATCCACCCTTCCTCCATCTCAAACATTCCATTCCCCCAAGCTCTCCCCTATCCTCCCCTCTCTCTTCTCTCTCCCTACCTACCCTTCTCCCCAACTCACCCCCATCCTGTGCTCCCAACTTTTGCCTGGTGATCTTGTCTGCTTCCAATATCCAGGAGGATAAATATATGTTTTACTTTGGGTTCACCTTCTTCTTTAGCTTCTCTAAGATCTGATGGAGAAGGGTTATCTGTCTATTGTGTTATTTTCATTGGTCAATAAAGAGACTGCCTTGGCCCCTTGATAGGACAGAAAATTAGGTAAGAGGAGTAAACAGAACAAAATGCTGGGAAGAGGGCTATGAGCCAGAAGCCATGGAGCCAGCCACCAGGTCAGACATGCTGAATCTTTTCCGGTAAGCCACCACCTCGTGGTGCTACAGATTATTAGAAATGGGTTAATATCAAGATATGAGAGTTAGTCAGTAACTAACTCTCTAGAGATAATGGGACAGGCAGTGCTTAAATGAATACAATTTGTGTGTTGTTATTTCTGGGACTAAGCTAGCCGTGCGGGAGCTGGGCAGGATGAAAAGCAGGCCTGCCCGCAGCCCCTTACAACAAAGATCATGAATCATAGGCTCAATTTCCTTTGTATATGGCTAGAATCCACTTACAAGTGAGTACATATCTTATTCCTCTTTTGGGGTCTGGGTTGTCTCACTCAGTAAAGTGTTTTCTGTTTCCATCCATTTGCATGCAAAATTCAAGATGTCATTGTTTTTTACCGCTGAGTAGAACTCTTAAGTGTATGTGTGCCACACCTTCTTTATCCATTCTTCTATTGAGGGGCACCTAGGTTGTTTCCATGTTCTGGCTATTACAAATAGTGCAGCTATGAACATAGTTGAACAAATGCTTTTGTAGTATGATTGGGCATCTCTTTGATATATTCCCAAGAGTGGAATTGCTGGGTCCTGAGGGAGGTTGACTCCCAGTTTCCTGAGAAACCGCCACACTGATTTCCACAGTGGCTGCACAAGTTTGCATTCCTACCAACAATGGATGAGTGCTCCCCTCACTCCACATCCTCTCCAACATAGGCTATCGTTGGTGGTTTTGACTTTAGCTATTCTGACAGGTGTCAGATGGTATCTCAAAGTGGTTTTGATTTGCATTTCCCTGATCGCTAAGGAGGTTGAGCATGACTTTAAGTGCCTTTTGGCCATTTGAATGTCTTCTGTTGAGAATTCTCTGTCCAGTTCAGTACCCCATTTTTTAATTGGGTTAGTTAGAGTTTTAATGTCTAGTTTCTTGAGTTCTTTAAATATTTTGGAGATCAGACCTTTGTCTGATGTGGGGTTGGTGAAGATGTTCTCCCATTCAGTAGGTTGCCCTTTTGTCTTAATGACAGTGTCCTTTTCATTACAGAAGCTTCTCAGCTTCATGAGATCCCATTTATTCATTGCTGCTCTTATTGTCTGTGCTACTGGGGTTATACTTAGGAAGTGGACTCCTGTGCCCATGTATTGTAGACTACTTCCCACTTTCTCTTCTATCAGGTTCAGTGTGGTCAGATTTATATTGAGGTCTGTAATCCATTTGGACTTGAGTTTTGTGCATGGTGATAGATATGGATCTATTTTCATTCTTCTACAGGTTGACATGCAGTTATGCCAGCACCATTTGTTAAAGATGCTCTCTTTCTTCCATTGTATACTTTTAGCTCCTTTGTCGAAAATCAGGTGTTCATAGGTTTGTGGATTAATATCCAGGTCCTCGATTCGATTCCATTGGTCAACATCTCTATTTTTATGCCAATACCAAGCTGTTTTCGTTACTGTGGCTCTGTAATAAAGTTTGAAGTTAGGGATGGTAATGCCTCCGGAAGTACTTTTATTGTATAGGATTGTTTGGGCTATCCTGGGTTGTTTTTTTTTCCATATGAAGTTGATTATTGTTCTCTCAAGGTCTGTGAAGAATTTTGTTGGGATTTTTATGGGAATTTCATTGAATTTATAGATTGCTTCAGGTAGAATTGCCATTTTTACTATGTTGATCCTCCCAATCCAAGAGCATTGGAGATCCATCCATTTTCTGGTATCCTCTTCAATTTCTTTCTTCAAAGACTTAAAGTTCTTGTCAAACAGATCTTTTACTTCCTTGGTTAGAGTTACCCCAACACACTTTATGCTATTTGTGGTTATTGTGAAAGGTGATGTTTCTCTGATTTCCCTCTTTGCTTCTTTGTTTTTTTGTGTATAGGAGGGCAACTGATTTTTTGGAGTTGATCTTGCGCTTATGTACACTATCATATCATTTGCAAATAACGAAACTTTGACTTCTTCCTTTCCAATTCAAATCCCCTTGATCTCCTTATGTTGTCTTATTGCTATTGCTAGAACTTCAAGCACTATATTTAAGACGTTTGGAGAGAGTGGACAGCCTTGACT